TTATTCTGAAATAAACACATAGTCTTCCCGCAATAAATTGTTGTGACTACACCCTCTTTTAATTCGTTGGAAAAAAACCACCCAGCCGAATTGCTAAGTACGAGATTCAACCAAGCAGCTCCTTAAAGTGTTGTCATTCCCCAACGCCGTACTGTGTCTCCCGTTACCTATGTTTGAATTTTGTCTTAGCTGCTATAGTCGTAGATATAACGAGAAGATCTTGCTTTCTTTCTTGTAGATGTTCGTTCGAGCCATGTTCGACTACAATCCCTATGAAGACGACGAGCTTCCCTTTAGAGACATTGGACAAGCATTTGAGATGGGTGATATTCTGGAATTGGTGGACTGTTCTGATTTTACATGGTGGCAGGTAATTGCTCCGAATCTGAACTAGTATATTTTATAATCTCACGTTTGCATTCAAAATTAATAAAGACTGGCAATTGTGAGGATAGTAACTCAAAACTCTTACTCATTTTCGTTCCCATATCGGTATGGGGGAAATGAATGTCGTTTTTCTGTATCAAGTCGTACGATTTTCACTTTTAACTTCTGTACAATCATCTATAGCGTCAGCCAGATGACGGATAATTTTGCACAAAAGGAGCCTTTTCAATGAGGTAAAACGGACAGTGTCTCCTCTTATAGTGCTTAGGTTCTTACTAGTCAGTTTCCTGTGTAAAAGAAACTCCCAACTGTTCCTTCAGATATGTGTATTGCGCTCGATTTCGCATTGGTTTTTCCTTATTAGTAAATATTTCTTGAGTCAGCAAATATTAAAGTGTATAAAAGTGCTTATATGCACTACTTAGTCACAGGTTTTCTCTAAACTATATTAACATAGTCTCTCGCGGTACGTATAGTCTGTGTGCTCATTTGTAGCACAGAGGGTAGCTGACTGGTTAAACAGCTTAACTTAGCGTACGAAAAACAGTCATGTGAAGTGTCTAATATTTTGCAGAAAAATTAACCTCAAAACACACCTCACTGTCCTAAGAACCCACGAAATAAGCTTAATCAGGCGACTAATATGGTTTATTTTCAAATAGGGCGAGCCTCGGTCGATTTAGTTATGACTAAGCCAAACTGACCCATGGAACATATATGTTTACGGCTGTTTTGATCCGATGGTTCTTGTAGTGCGTCAATACAAGACCAAATCGGCAATTTTCTCGCTGATGCAGACTGTATTTCGATTTCGAACAGTTTACCTAGACAATTTTCAGTGTAGCAGATGCTAGCACTGTACTTGACTGTGGAAGTGAACATATATGTACTTGTTACCTGCAGTTTTTGAACAATGATTTGCGGTACGTTTTGCGAACTTCCATTTGGTCGTTGAAATTTTGGAGGCCGTGCCATTTCAAATACTTAGAAGCACAGACTAGAGTTCCTGAATTTTTAAATAATGTTTAGCTCCTTATTCTGGTGTTTAATAGGTTAATTCAAAATTAACAGCACTGATACTCTTTCTATAGGAAATAGAACACATGTAATAGCAGGCTGTTTAAGGAATAATCCAAGATTAGATTTTCTCATTATCTCATCGATCGACTTTTGAGTTTCGTAAAAAATCCCCTTAATGTGAGTTACGCTCAGGTTAATAATTCAGTTGTCAGTTTTCAACTACATTATATTGATGTTCACAGCGATTTTGTAAGGTATTTTCTAGATGCTTTTGCATTAAACCAAACTGAACGATAACTGAGAGATACGCTTCGAAAGCCCTTGTTTAATACTGCTGCTAAATTAAAACCGTATCATGTATGATATCTTAGCATCGAAAGCTAGGTCTATCAAATCTTAATTTCTGACTGATAGTTATGCCACAGATAAGAAGAACAGATAGCCCAACATCAGCCTCAGTTACTGACACATTTTGACAGTCAGGTATTTGGTTAGGACGAATGTGGTTTTTAAACTTGTGCCTCTTTCTGCAACAGATTAAATGTCTTTCAGTTACGTACCCTGAAAGCCGTGTGCATTCATTTATTTAATTTAACGTCAAGAGTACGAACTTAGTCGTAAAGTATTTAGACTTTGTCAGAGTTGCAGATTGTGCGATTTAAACATGGTCATTAGCTTACTTTGCATGTACATTTAGATGTTCAGTATTTGATTGCCTTTTGAAGCTTAATACGATTGAGTAAGCGGGTACCAATCAAGACATATCCTACCGTGGTGCCAAGAATGACATAGTTTTATCCGCAAATAAAAAGACAGTGCAGTTCATATTTAAGTAAAAACGAACTTATTATATGCCATATGCTTCATTCATTTATAAATTTGATCATCCGCAGAAGCATATTTTCTAATGAACATCGTATTTTTTTTCAGGTTGCCGTATTACCGATTGTTCTTGTCTTATAAGTGAGTTAGCTCGCAGGTTACCGTTGTACAAAGCATTAAGAATTGCTCATTTGCTCTGATGATCCTCATTCCTTTAGCATTTTGCTTCAGACATTAACTAAAACGATTTATTTTCCAAAGCAAAGTCGCCCTTCCATCTGCAAGCTGTAAACACATTTTATGCGTATTGGCAATTATTAGGCTCTCATTAGTTGTATCCTTCTTTGTGATTAGAAATTTTTTCCGGGAATACAGTATATTTAAGTTTTTAAATGCACACTTTGGGATGCTGGTAATTGACTGAACGCATTTTCGAAGGACGCAACCTGTACTGAGAGAAGGATGCTTAAGTTATTCAAGCATGCATAAGTAACACTGCGTACCATGTTGACGAGAAAAAGAGTGCTTGCTTTCTATCAGCACGCCTTATGCAGTCACTTGTTAAATTTTCTGACGAGCGTTTTGCTTTTATACGGCCACTGTGATATTAATGTCCTTGAATGATGTTCTCGTCCTTCTAATTATCAGTAATTAAAAGCACTAATCAAAATATACTTTCGTAATAATCAATCATTTGGCCTTCTTTTGATTTATATAGCAATAAGAGTTGTAGATGGAAAATGAATCATTTTCGTATGGTTTTTAGCATTTCAGTCTATTTGTTTTCCGTTTAAATAAAAACGTAATCTAAATTCGTAATCAGATACGACCAGGTTTCTGAGTTCTTCCCATAAAGAGCCAGGTTTCTGGTACGAAATATGTTGTTTGTCTTCTTTTACCTAGAGCCCAGTCCGTAAATGCTATTAGTATGGAATTGGCCTTACTTTTACTTGCCGACCCCATAATCAGTATATTCCCTTCGTTAGCCTGTCTTGCTATTTAAATAGTCTAGCTTACTACAGATTTCAGTTCCATCAAACATTGATGTTTTCCTAGATGAGACAGGAAAACGGTTTAAAATACCGTGACGCATAATCATGTATCATTTATTTTGAAAAAACGTCAGACAGCGTAGCATAATGTTGGCATTTTCTTTGATTACTACATGGAAATATCTAACTAAACAGATACATTCCTGATAAATATGTGTTTTGACTCACACTGTAGCTTACACTAATGCATAACGCACAGAGAGAGAGAGAGCGGAAAGAAGCACAGATAAAAGTGAACTTGCACAGACACTTGCTGCAACACCAAAAGGTCATTGTTCATTGCGCACAGACTAATTAGTGAAAATGGCAACCTGCAGAAAAGATGACAGGAAAAGTTAACATGCCTAAGGGCGCAAGTAAACCAAAGTCTGAGAATTTGCTAGGTCCACTTAAGCTTGACCGCGTGGTCTGGCCTATAACCGAGACTATGCTTCTCGCGCCGTATATACGCTTCTTCCATGTAGCGCAAATTCCGAGTTTTTTGTGCCCGAACATGTATCTGGGAGATGTAACCTCATTCGAGAGCGTTGGACTTTTCTAAACTGGTTGCGACGTCATTAAGGAGGTGCACCACTGACGCAAATGCCATTTGCACTTTTGTTCGTAAATTCACCTGTCTCTGCGAGTGCATATATATTTGCACACAAGGTAGGCAATGGCAAAGCGTTGTTCGCCCACTAGATTCCATATGAATGGTAAGTTGGGCGGTTAAGATCAACTCAAGTGTGATTAAATTCACGTCGCACGGTGAGCCTCGTAGCTCAGTGGTAGAGCGTTGGCTGCGCAAAAAGCCTTCCCTACTGTGTGAGTTTGACTCCCACCAAGGTCGCTAATTTCAAAATTAGGTCAACTGAATTAAGTTAGCCTGTCAATCCCCCTCCCCTAACAATAAATTGGAATGGTTTTAGTATGACTGCTTAATATGATTTTCTAGTTGACTCGATTGTGAGAAAACTCGGGGCATTTGGCGGGATCAGAACCCGCATAGTAGGGAAGGCCTTCCCTAATATGCGGGTTCAAATCCCGCCAAATGCCGCGAGTTTTTTCACAATTGGGTCAACTAGAATCAAGCAAATCTGCCAACCCCCTAATAATTACGTCAGCCTAGTAGTCTCTCTGGTGGATTCTAGATGATTGCTTGGGAAATCCTGCTTGGGCAATTAACTTGCTGTTCCATATTGGTGGCTTCCATACGAGAGGCGAAGTTGGGCGGGTAAAATCGATCCAAGTGTGATTTAACTCACGGCCTGAAGCGTAACATTTGTAGCATAATGGTAGAACATTGGCTTACGGTTAAGGCCTTCCCTACCATGCGGGTTCAAATCCCGCCGAACGCCGCGAGTTTTTTACAATTCGGTCGACTAGAATTAAGCAAAGCTGCTAAACCCCCTAATTAATATGATTTTGGCTACCTAGTATATCCAGCGTATCCTAGGTATGGAATTATTGTGTATGAAACTCTGTTACCCTTTACATTTCAGGATACACTGACGGCTTCTCTAAACTTACTCTTCCATCAACTTTTGTTTTAAGGGGTTTCTGTAATTTTTGGATGAAATAACCTGCATTGTTATTTTTAAGTGGGGTTGCCTTGTTAGACAAATATCGCTCGTCCTTCCAAAGCCAGAATGCACTAGACTTCAGGTCCATTCTATCGATAAAAGAACCTACGAAATGAAAATACTAACTCGCCGATGAATTTTTTCTGCTTAACTAAAATAACTTTCAGAAAAGTCAGTTTTTCGAGCTGCTTTTAATCCCTGGGAGTGCAATCCGCGGATGTGGGCTATTCATGGCACTAAATAGGTCTTTGGTTTCTGTTTTTATTATCAATAGTCCCACATATCTCATCAGCATACTCTGCATATAAGGATTTCAGGCTCGACTTCGGTTTGCACGAGGAGACTTTCCGTAACTCCCTCAGCGTGTCCACCAAACAGACAATAGAATTGTTTCGTGCATTTATTCTTAAATACTGGGGTGACAGACGTACTTAAGAAGCATAGACACCTAAGACATATTTTGGTCCTCAAGTGATACTCTTGTAAGTAATTTACTCAAGTTCAAAGAGAACTTTTTTTGCCAGATTTATTCAGATGCGTACGTTTTCGGA